AAAAAGATAAAAACACCATTGGACAACCAAATGTATCATAAACTCACAGAAACTTAGTGAGAACAAATGGCTGAGGAAGGAGAAAAGGCAACATGCAGTGCGGTGGGCACATTTCCTGCAGGCTTATTAAGTATACCTCAGTTTTTGACCAAATCTGCTGATCACACTAGACTAGCATTATACCTAGAAAACTATTCAGCTATTTCTGCAAATACTTTTTTTTTCTTGATGAAGAAGTGAGCACTGAAATCTTCCAGTAAATTGGAAGCCAATCTACAGAAAGAAGATGTAACCTTATTGCAACACTTGTTAGAAGACACATTCTGAATGAAACAGTTTTGGGGGTTTTGTTTAGGTCAAGGACTTGTTATTTAAGCTACAAAGGTCCTAAACATGAATTACTGTGGCTGAGTCTGAATCATACTGAAGGATGGGACTTACTCTCTGGGAATAATAAAATTTTTTCAAAATCATCACCACTTGTGCATAGTCTAAGGCCTGTAAAATAATTTGAAGTTTATAAATAATTGGAACTATTTGAGAGATGGAAGGTTGAAGAAATGAAGTTATGAAAGCAGATAATAGTTCAAAATCCTTTACATCTTATCCCCTCTGGACTTTGTTGTCAGCTAGCTGGCTTTCACACACATGTTTTCCCCTTCTATTTTCTTGTCCAGCTGTGAGTGCAGGACTCTCACCCTTGCTCTCTCTGTGGTGTACCATTACTCATAGTTTGGTGTATGTTGTAAAAGACTCTTTGGGGCTCCCCAAAAGGTCAGGGATGGCTGTGGTCACACAGGTGACTCTGGGGGCAAGGTGGGAACAGGTTCCTCCTGACCCCTCTGAACGGTGGCACAAATGGTGTCACCACCTGTCTGATTTCAGTCAATTCCCCACTGGTCTGACAGGGCCACCATGGGCACCTTTTTCCAAGATTTGGATGGAGTTTATTTATTTGACCTCTCCTTTTTTACAGCAACATCAGGTCTTTACTAGTGGTAGCAGGAGGCATGAAAAGAAACATTTTTTTACAAAAGGAAGATTTCAAAACAAAAAGGAAAAGCACCAGAATGCAGACTACAAAAACTCTGAGTCTTCTTCCAATACCACACAAGAGCATGAACTACTAAGAGGATATTTTAAAGCAACTCTTTGTTTGATATAATACACTGAGTTCTGAAGGGATAGAAATGGAACCACTCAGAATTTAATTCCTTCATCTTTTTCACCTATGGCATGAAAGCTGCTGTCCTGATAAACTGGTGTGAGTGCTACACTGATCTAACACACTCATTTACCTGCTGGCTCTGCATACCCATCCTCCTGCTGCCAAGCAGCTCAAGGCTTCCTGACCAGAAACCATGAACCCATGAACTTTCTTTCCATGCTCAGGTACTGAGAAGAGCCTCTCCAACCCCAGTGTGCTGCTCACAGTCATACATTTGGCAGCACGAGCACCTGCCCAGTTTCCCGAGTGCTTTTCTCCAAATTACCATCATCCTCCCTGTCCAACTGAAGTATGAAGTATCCTCTTCACCTTCTAACCCTCTTCTCATACACCTTTTTTTTCCTGCCATTTTCCTAAAAGATTCCATAAATTATAAACCTTTAAAGCAGACCTGAAAGCTGAAAGGTTAATTGCATAGTTCAGTACCCTTGAATTTCATCTTTTGATTTCAGCAAGTCAATTAACATTTAAAGAGCTGGTTAAAAGGTGATGCAGATGCTCTGAGGCATCTTGTGACGCACAACAACCCTAAATCTATTTTAAAAGTCTATTGCTCTCTGGTAAACCATATTCCAGATTTTCTGTTTACACCCAAGACATACAAAAGGAAATGCAGGCTGGAGGACAACTGCTATCCTGTGATGCACAGAAATTATTTGATTATTCTTAAGATATGGCATTTTTGCACTCCCAACATGGACAACTTTTCTTTTCAAAATGCAAAGATTCAAAGCCCATGTCTCCCACAACCCTTTAAAGCTGTCTACTGATCAAAATAAAGTTGTGTGGATGGCTCTATTGAGTAATTAATAGCGATTACAATTTGTATATTCTCCCATAATTTCAAGTGTTTTTGACAGTGATCTTGCAGCATTTAGAATATTACATCAGAAGAAAATCAACCCAGAGACTGCCCTTGACTTCCCTTATGACCACACTTTGTTAGCAGAGCCTACTGGAACATGCATTTTCTTACCGGTATCTATGAACAAATATACCCTTAAAAATAGAGTTCATCATATTTTCGATTTCATCTTGGTTTTCTTGTAGCTGTGAAAAACAAAACACAAAATAAATAAAAGATCATTGCTTACTATAATTTGGTATTCTATAATTCCCTATTGGGAAACCTTTGAAGACCTTGGAAGAGCATTTGAGTAAATTCACCATTTCTGCTTTTCCAGCACATGCCTATATTGTGTGCACATACATACAAATATTTACACTTATATATGTAATGTCTTAATGGAAGAAAATTAACATTCACTACAAACATCAATTTAGTCTCTCAAATTAGTTCTTTGAAGTAATCATCAACTTTTGCTACTGAAAATGAGACAAGCAGAGACAATGTGTGCCGTAATTCCAGCAGTGTTATGTTCACGGGGAAACACAGAGCTGAGTGAATGACAGCTGCAGAAACAAAGCTGGTTACAAATTAGTTTTGGAAAAATTAATGTTCTATTTAAGGAAAGGAGTTGAAGATGTTCTCAATCTTAAGTAAAAGACTGTCAGTTGCTTGAACTTCAGCAGCCACAAAAACTGGGTTTCAGAAGCAGAAACATTTCCAGGACCAGAGCACACCTAACATCCAGGCCTCAGCCTGCAAGAAACCAAACCCAATTCCAAATGAAAAGCTGTTATGAGCTTGCTTTTATAAATAAGAGCCTTTTCTTAAAAATCTTTTCATTTCCTGGGTAATATGAGCATGTTTTGCAAGTACTATGGGAAGCTTACCTTGTGTCAATTAATATGTTAACAGAACTTGGAATTAATTACTGTATTCTCATACTGTCAGATCTTGTACTAAACTAAGTGTAACTTAATTACACCTAAATGCAGCTTTGTTAATAAGATGACACCAATTTTAACCAATCAGCTTCAAGGTGTTCATTACAGTCCAAGCACAGCACCACAGTGTGGGAATGTAAATTTGCCCACATTCTCACAGTAGGAAAACCACAACAGAGCCTTGCTAGTAGAGTGCACATATGCATAAAATAAATAACCTGTATAATTATGGATGTATGTATTTAACAGATAAAAGGTTTTAAAGCCAGAGGCAAAACTTGGATCAGCTGGTTTGACCTCCTGCATGGCATGAGCTCTGAAACACTTTCACCTAAGGGCTTCTATTTTTCAGCCAAAGATTTCTACTGTATCTTCCAGGTATGAGCTGAAGTAGCTTCAGAACTCAGAGAGTGAAGCCTCCCAGTTCACTAAAGTGTAAGGAGGTGCTGTCTCCATTTTGCATTTGGAGAAACCAAGGCATTGAGGGCTCTTGACTAAATTGTCAAAAGCCTGCCAAAGAAATTAATTTCACAGTAAAAGGGATTATGTACAAAGGGAAGAGCTGGGTCCACACCAGCTCTGCATATATGAACCAAGCATATTTAGACATGGCCTCTGGGAAAAGCACTATTTGCAGCATCAGCTCAACCCAAATATGCACAGACTAAATGCTTGTTTGAGAATTCATAACCCAAAGGGGACTGTGAGTTCCTAACCACTCCTCAGCTGGATGACTCCACAGGCTACAGGCAGGGAAACATCCACAGAAACACGGGGGTAGAGACAGCCCAGCACAGGCTGTGTGCAGTAAAATGAGGATGGGAATGAACCAAGAAGCTTCAAGAGGCTCTCTGAGAAACTACCAGAGCCCTGGAAGAGCAAACTCACAGAGAACTCAGGGAATGATTATAGGTATAAAACCACACCACAGAAGACAGGTAGGAGAGGATGGATTTTCTGAGCCATGAGAAAGTTGAGATTCTGAAAAAAGTGTCCTTTGACATCTCTGTGAGTGCAAAGTGATGCAGCACAGTAGAGGCCCGAGCAGCACAAATGAAGGGACAGCATGGATGGCTTCTTCTCTCTTCTTCTGCACAGAATTTACAGTGCACTATAAATACAGTAAATTATCATCTGGTACAGGTATCCAGGTGCTGGGGCACAGCTGGTGTGGAAGCAGAATCAGAGATTCAGCAGGTCCATGTAAGATCCCCCTTTACCTCTGTGTACTAACATTTAAAAGATACAATTCTCAAATGTATTTCAGATTCAGTAATGAATTTTCTCTGAAACTCTAATTGCTTTCTACACTTTCAAGTTTTTTAAACCATGGACTTGAATCTGGGTGCATAACTTCAAGCATCTTGAGAGAGCATCTGTGTCCTGGGATTCCTGCTCTTACCAATGCAAAAATGATTTAACACCCTCCCTCTTAAACAGAGATAAAAAACGAGAGAAACATTCTCTTAACTCTGCAAACAGGTTTGGAAGCTTAAAAAGACATGCATGACAGGCACAAAATTTGAATTACTACTGGCAGATACTAAAATGACAACTTTCTCTGCTTTGTGGCATATTGCTACATAAATCATCCACTTGAGCTGAAAATCTCACTGATAAGAGAGCTCCATGCATGGCTCTCCCACCAGGCTGTAGATGATGGCATGAGAATGAAACACTTCAGGAAGTGCTCCACCTCCTTGCTTCAGACTAATTTGGCACACTCAGCTGGTCAACTGTCCCTTTATCAGCTCATGAACACCAATACATGCACATGTTATGTGCTCAGGAGGGGTTGTTAGGATGGTACTTCATCCAAGAATGAACTGAGCAAGTGCCAGCACAGAATGCCACTGTCAATTCAGTGTATTTAAACACTGGGAATATACATATATATATATATGATGTCAGGAATTCTTACACAGAGCATTAAGCCATCTAATCCTCATAGATCTCTTCTGCCCAGGTGTCCCTGGTGTGCTTAACCCCAGGGACATCCTGGATCTGGCTATTCCCAGGCAATGCCTTGCTCAGCTGTCATGAGCAATGAGATGAGAGCCCTTGAACACACAGAGCCAAAGGTAAGGACTAAGAAATGCTCCTTCTCCTGTCAAGGCTCCCCAGCCCTGTGCAGCCTGGGCATCCTTGCTGCAGCTCCCCAGAGACAGGATGTCCTGCAGCTCTGAAAGAATGGCAGAGTCCCCAGCCACAGAGCCACCAGCCAAGGAAATCAGTGCTATCAGTGTCTTTGTCCTCTGCAAATTCAAAGCAACAATCAACAAATGTGGAATACAAACTCTGTTCCAGCTATTTTGCTTTTCAAAATGCTTTAGAAGTCACATTCAATTTAATACTTAATTAAAAATGTTTCTCTCACAGTTAGGGCAGGAGAGATTCTTCTTACATTGTACCTTAATGCATGCTTTTCAAGAATTATGAAAACCAAATAAAATTGTGCAACAGATCATAGGGCTAAAATAAAAATAGGTCATTGTAATTATCCCCAGACAAAGACTACAAAGTCAAGCAATTCTGAGTCAAAGTTACACCCAAAGGAATTCAAGGTGCACACAGGCAAAGCACTCTGTGTCTTAATTGACACAGAGTAAAACAGTGGTGGAGAAAATAAAAAACTAATATATTAAAAATCATAAATTAAAATCTAAGCCATAAAAAATTTGATTTTTTAAAATTTCTCTTATGAGTTTAACTTGGCATCTTTTTACACATTATGGTTGTTTGGGTGCTATGTGTATTAATTTTCTACTTGTCATCTTTAAGTTTAAGAACACCTCTAAAACTAAAATTTCCTGTGATATAATACTTTATTCAGGGTTGATTACAGCAACCTTCTAATGGTTTTTCTCACCTAATGTCAGACTGGTACTTACTAAAGGCGACTTTAATGTCTCCCTAGCTCCTTCTCCCTGAGAACAGGTGCTATAGCCTCAACTCCAGTGTTTCCTGAAAGCAGCTAAAAAAGAAGTACTAATGAGACACTGTGGAGTAACTGTAGTGGTCAAGGGGAAAACAGGGCAGTGCAGGGAGGGAACGTGTGATCCTCCTGTCAGAATCTTTCTGCATCATCAGAACAGTGACTGCTTACAGTTTGAGACTCTTCCTACCTGCTCATACATAGAAGCCTGAGAAGAGAATTCTCCTTCCAGTGCAGAACAGCACCACAAACTCAACTGAATGTGGCAGTACAGGATTTAAGTAGTGTGCTTGAGATCACACAAACACCACTGCAGAGCTAAGCTCTTTCTCACCGTGGTACTCAAGTCACAAACCACCCTGGGCTTTCTGTTGGAGGGAATGCACATGAACCAGGAAAAAAAAAGTCTTTTCACTTGCCTCTTTTCTTTTCTGAAGCAGCAGCTCCAATCTTTCATTAGCTCTTTTGCCAATCATTTTGTTTCTCTCAGCTTCATACTGCCTCTGTGTATTGTCCTGATGAATGCTCAGGTTTAAGGCAACATTCACAAGAGCAGTCATAAGCTTCATAGCTGCAAAGGCACAAGACAGATTATGACTCTTTACCTGTAGTCAGAGCTCAGAAAGTATTTCCTCAGCAGATCCATACTCACACCAAAAAGCCTCACGACCCTGAGGTCACTGGCCCATGGTCAGAAAGCAGAGTCTATACCCCACACTGAGCTGCAGGCAGTGCTCCTTGCTGCCTTCTCCAGACAAGCTCTGAGGGCACCAGGGAGCCAGCAGTGAGCCTGCAGCACCAGGGCACCAGAAGGCAGCTGCCAGGGAGATACAGCCATTTGTGCACAGAGGAGTGCCAGCAGAGATGGCTCCATGCTAAGGGTGACCTTAACCCATGGCTGCTGAGGATGGCTCAGTTCACGAGGGACCACAGCACAGCTTCTCCGAATGCAGGTCTGACACTGCTCTAAGTCAGCTGTACAGCCATATAAAAATGCAATTTTTATTTTCACACATGCTGGATATGATATTGTTCATGTCTGCTTTTTGGTACTACAATTTATTTTTACAAAAAACATTAATAAGGGTCTTTCCCAAGTTCTGTGTGGTTACATAGTACAACACATTTTACAATATTGCAAAACCAGCAAAATAACGCAACAAACTATCACATCCTCTTTGCATGCTCCTCTAAATATGCAGCATTGCTTCAAGATAGAAGAGTAACCACATAAATGGAGAAGTGAGGTTATTTGGATTGATTGATTGCGACAGCTCAGAACTGGTAACCTATAGGTTCTTCTCCCTACAGTGAATCATCTCTCATTCCAACTGACTAGCATAGAGGAAAACTGAAAACAAGAAACTGAAAACTGAAAACACTCCTTCAAGAAGAAATGCCAGTCTACAAGTAGATTTTCAAAAACTTTATCAAGGCTGAGCTCCATGGCATCATGCTGACCTCTGCTCTTTGGGACTTCAACACAATTAAATGTGCTAAAAACAGCTTGAAGGAAATTTGTAGAATCAAAGCAAAGCCTCAAGATTGTTACAACAAGCAAACAAAAAATAAATAGCATGTATTGTCACTGGTAAATGCTGAGATCTTTGGCAGCTCCCATCCATGATGCAATGTTAGATAAATGTGTCATTAATGCAAGAAGTCAGCACTGGCTGAAATAACTGCAGTCAGTTGGGATGAACCTCAGCTTCAGCATCAGCATATTCTTGCTTCAAGTTTCTAGCTACAGAATCCATTCAAAATTATGGAAACTCTTTCTTCTACAGAGCATCTTGGGAAATGACTGTAATAAGTGCTTCTGTTTCCTGTCTTTTGATCAAGCCCCTCATACTTTCCAAACATCTGCCCCATGCAGGGATGGACCAATCAATCCCAGGGACCAGAGAGCAGACCTCACTCCATGAACTCTTCCCTATGAACCAAACAACCACATCTGAGCAAACAGCAAATCAAAACCACCCAGCACTGCAGACAGCATCAGAATATAGTTTAAGGGAATATAGTTTAAATAAGAGACATGGATTTCCAGCAGGATATCTAGGCTCAAACAGTGCTCACCTTGGAATACTAAATTTGAAGAGGAAACTCCAAACCTGGAAGCTTAAGCCTGCATAATTCACAGTTTCACCATCCCATTGCTATGTATGGTGAAGAACACAAGGGAATGCATTTCCAAAGGAGCTCAGTCACTGTGAGTTGAAGGGTTTGGGTTTCAGTTTTAAAATCAAAATCCACTCAAATCTGGAGTTGTTGTTGCAATATCATTGGAAATCTGCCTCTTACTTGGATTCATAACAAGAGTTGAAATTTTAAATAAATTCTGATTGTATTTGTTTAACACTGGGTATCAGTACACTTGAAATTGAAAAAAATGTGTATGAGGCTATTGTGGAAAGACTAAATAGTAATAAATACTGGCCATAGAAACATTGAGATTATGACAAATGTCTGCTGTAAGAGTTTCAAATATCTGGCATGATCTATGAACCTTGCAATAAGATGGATTTCTTGCCACCTGACATGACCAGCTGCAGACACCTACACCCAAGCCAGCCACCCTGGTAGTGCTTTGTAATTGAGAAAAATAGCTCCTTGTGGAAAGCAATTCATCCCTCTTAGAGGAGACATCTCATACAGGTGTGATGAAATACATAAGGAAAGCCACTTCTACCTAATGATACACCCAGGGCTTTCCTTAGGTGAGGCAGCTGCACTGAAAGGTGGTGTGGCTGCAGGCAGAAGACAGGGAGCCCTACAACCATGGCCCATTAATCCCAAACATTATGCTTCTCCAGAGTTAAGGCACAGATTATTTTTTCTGGTGAACAGAAACTCTTTGATAATACAATTGTCCTGATACTTCCTTAGAATAAATTTATACTCTAAAATATAAAATTACTCCAACATTCTGCACAACAAGGGAACAATTAATAACAAAATACAAGACATAAGCATGCCACTTCTGATTGTCAGGATTCACTGGAGGCCTGGGGGATGACAGGAATCCCTAAGTGCCTCAGCACACTACTTTCCAAATAAAAAAGGAATATTTTAAGTATAGTTGTACCATATGTGGTACTTGGATTTGATGAAGCTTTGCGCAGTTGTTGGTCAGGATCCACCTCAATCCAAATGACAAGCACTTGTCGCAGGGGATAAGCAGTGCAAGCTCAGTGACAGAGCCCTGCAGTGCAGCTCACTCACCAGCCAGGGTGCTGGTGTGCCGGAAGGCGCGGACCTGCGAGTCGGAGAGGCCGGTGAGCAGCGAGATCACCGTGTCCATCATGTACTCGTCGTAGATGATGCTGTACTGGCACTGCCGGATCAGCACCCCGATGAACTCGCAGAAGTTGGAGCGGAATTTCTTCCACTGAGGCCCAGGCATGGTCAGGGGATAATCACCACTGTCCTGCAGAACAACAGAAGAAAAAAATCAAGTATTAAAGGTCTCCTCATTTAATCTATTTTAATGTTGGTGTAGCCATTGTGGTCCACGGTTCTAAACTAAACATCATCTTGTTCCTTCAAGCCAAGGGAGAATAACAAATAAAACAACACATCATTCTTCAATAATCAGGGAGGCTCACTGGTACAAAACCACTTTTGCAAAGACGTTGTAACTGCTTTCCACTTGCAGTACTGGCTCCTTATAGTCCAAAATAAGTATCAAGACTCAATTCTTTTCCTTGTATCCTCGGTTCGGGAGTGGGAGCAAAGTATGAGAAAGGAATATTTTGAAGTATTTAAGGTCAAACTTAAAGAAAGGCTCGTGTGATTGACAGTTTGTGTCATTTTCCATCCCGACTTCAACTCCAGGTTAATACTCTAATCAGGTGGCTGCCCCTCCCCCCAAACTTCACTTTGCTCAAGCTTACAGTTGAGTATGGTTTACTCAAGCTTACAGTTTCCTTATCAGAAAGCAAACACTGCCCTGTTTTATCTTGTAAATGCAGCCTTTATCTAGCGGCAGAACTTGCCTTCTGATAGCAGTAATGGAAATTTTACTACAGATTCATACACTTCATCTTCAAAAAATTATTACAAGATTGGACTAGGCATGTTCATTTAACACCTCTCCAGGTCTGCTCTTACTAGATTCACTATATATACTGCATTACAGGGACACTGTCCCCCCACAATCAGAAAATGCTTTTTCCCCCTCAGTGAAAAAGCCTGAGTATAAATCTCCCTGACCACTTGATCTGTAAGCCAATTCCAGAGTATCCAAAATATCAAGGCAGGAATGCTCCATCCTGAATCTCTCAGCCAGGATAAGAAGTCAGTAGTACTAAAGTTCCATCCATTTATACACATTTATTCTGTGTTTTTGTGAGGAATAAACACTTTCCTCCTCAGGACTTACCATCCAGACTGAAACACGCAAAGGCAGCAACATCAGCACAGAGGAGATGCAATCAAACACCTTGAACCTAAACTTCATAAACAACATTCCCCTACAGAAAACCCTTTAGCCATCACATTTAACCTAATCACACCCATTTCAACCACACCAAAATAACCTGATGGATCTCTGCATGTGAATTTAGGTACACAACATATGCTTGAGGTGTGTGTGTATGAAGTCTTTTTAAACAGAGCCTCCTAAGCTGAAGTGCTGTGTGTAACTACTCATCTCTGTATGGTGCATTTTTAACCTACAAGTACATATCAGACAACTCTTTTGAAAAGCCTGTGAAGACTATACCATAAACACCTCATCTGGCTGAAATTGGAAGAATAAACTTACAATTGATCTTTTATTCTTGAATATAAAAAATAAAAGTGATACATTAGTGACACTGACACAATACTTGATGGCCCAGTGCTTAGAAAATTCAAAGTAAACCAAGTCTTTGTTCACCTGCCAACTCTACACAAGAATTATGAGGGAATTCACCTACAAAACACCTGTACTCCCAAGGAGCCAAACAGTGCAGCCAACGGATGTCCCTGGAATTCTCTGTCCCAAAGTGAACTTTGTGAACAACGTTATTTACATAGTTGAAATCCTGCACAAGAATTTTTCCACTCCTGAGGAGGAAAATCAATACTTCAATTGCTGCCATAAATGCAAGATTCAGGCTAGCAGCCAGCTGATTCCTGCAGCACTCCTGGAACAATGGGACAATCTGGGACTTCTGGGGTACTGGGGGAGCTGTTACAGGTGAAATGCCAACAGTTTATTGCAGATTTCAAAATACTCATTGGGTTGCAGTCTAGGACTAACAATTTTGTGTTTTTGTAGAAAGTCTCGCAAATTCTTTCACAAATCCATTCAAACGTTAAGGCAAAAGCTAGAATTGAAACTTTTTAGAACTCCAGTAGTTCTGAAAAGTTTTAGATAATGGAGCAAGAAAGACTATGTAACTCTTAGAGATGTTGCTTTCAAGTACATTCATATGAAGAGGTTTTTTCTTCCTGTGAGAATAAACTTTGACAGCTTTTAAAAAGATTTTTTTGAAAAATACTTTCTTCATCAAATATGGGATAATCATCCAGCAAAAGGAGCACCCCTATGGCTGTAGTCACGCATTTACTGAAACATTTTGTTGTTCAAATGGTGAAGAAGGAAATTGTGTATAAGTACATCCTGAAAAAGAACATATCTTGTATTTATTGTTTTGCTGATTAACTTTCTGAATCACAGTCTTGGCACTTCATTTAGAATTGGTCAGACATTGCTGTCCTACAAAAATTCCTGCTCCAGCTTTAGTTTTCCTTAAACTAAACAAAAGGAACGCTCAGAATATTCAGCTTTTTATACACCAAAAATCAAAGAAAATACAGTTCAAAAATCTCAAAGCTAAAAAGCATTCACCATTAGGAACATGTTTATTTTGACAGAAGATACCCAGTCTGAATTGTAATTTACTTGTTTCAAACAAAATGCTCAGATCTTTTGAAAGATTATTTCTTTCTGTATCAGTATTCCAAAATGGTAATTTTCATGTCAAGTTCCTATTTGGTTTAAATTGCCATTTAAAATGCACAAAACATTAATTTGCACAGAGAAAACAGAGCAGAATGCTGCAATGCTGTCTCATGAATCTGAAGTGTCAGGAATCTGGAGCTCTTTGTTGTACAATGGCACTCCCAAGAGCTGAAGTTCAGCACCCAGAATGCCACCACCACTCTCAGAGGGATGAGAGTTCTCCAGTTCCTCTTCCTGCCTGCTCTGATGAGCCTCTCCCTGCCCTGTTACTCCACATCCAACAGCTGAAGTTGCTGCTTTGCTTGTCAGTGCAGTTTCCCATACTGAGACGTTATTTATCCACTGGCCCACTGCATTTTTAATTTAAACCAGAAGTATATGGTAAAATATTTCATAATGCTTCAAAGAACTCTTTGTATACTCTACCTCATCAAATTCTTCTGTCATTTTCCTTATGATTTCTGCGTTTTGCATGTTCCTGAACATTTCAATTCTTACTGTACCTGTAATGTAATGAAAGAACAAAAGAAATGAACACAACATGGTTTTGCTACATCAAAATATCAATGTTTTTCTGCTGCTAAACACACAGCTCAGTGATATATATATAAGAGTATGTAGAGTGCAAAAATAACAGGAATCATTTGAAAAAAGCTGTCTCTTGAAGAAGTAGGGAAAGAGAACTCAGCTGTTCTGTAATGTCCTTTCAAATGAGGAATTAGTACCATTTTCCATCCTTTCACTCTTTGCAGCCAAGCCAAGTGTGATAAAGCAGAGATAGCCATGGAGGACTCATGTCATGTATGAGGCTGCCCAAGGCTTTCAGTTTTGTGTGCAAAACCCATTGAGCACCATCCTTCAGTTTCACAGCCACTCCTGGTGGTTCTGCACTTTGCATGCCAAATGCCCTGGATCACAATCCCATGCTCTCTATGCACCCACTGGGAGGTCTCACACAGCTCAGGACCAGCAAGGTTTATGGACTGAGGCACGTTTTCCAAACCCAAAGGCTCCAAAGGGCTCAGCCAACATTTGAGCCAGCTCAGCATCAGAAGTAGCCACTGTATCTCTGGTATTCTTTCATGTAGATTTTCCACTCCCCCTTGTTACCTGAACACTGGAGGATTAATTTTTCATCGTAAATCAAACAAAGTTACCAAAATTGAAAACAGAAAAACACAATAGCTATAAATGAAGATTCAAAATTCAATTAGCATACAAATAAAATATTCTGACATATTATTGCCTCTGCAACTAGACCTATCTAAATATCTAACCATATAACCCAGGGCAACATAAAGATTTCTATTTTTTTTTGCTGCTGCTGCTGCATGATCTTCTCTTCCTCACTTCACAATCTTCTTTTGTTAATGGAAGAAATTCAAAAAAATTAAGCAAACTGCAGAGCTACGAAATCCATCCCAACATCATTAACGTTACAAAGAGTAAGTCTCTCTCTCAGCTTTTGCAAAAAGTTCAACTGGATTAATGATCCACTGCATGGCTTTAAAAATTCAAACCATAATAGAAGCAGCTTAACAGCTAACAGCATTAGTCACTCTACAGAGGATACATAAAGATAATTAAAACATACTAAATATTATGCAAATGTTTTAATTCTGGTAGTTTATTCGTTTTAAAAAAAGCATTATTAGAAATATATGCATGTCAAAACATGCAAGCACAGTTAGAGCACACCAAGTCTCTCTGTATTAGTAGGGGTACAGTTTTACAAAGCAAATGAAATATTGATTTCTTGAATTGCCTTTGCTTCTTCATGAAATAATATTTGTTATCTATTACTTACTGGGTAATACTGTCAACCTCAGTTCTGACAATGGCAATTTAAATTTGTGTATGGTAATTTCCATATAATTAACAAACAATTACTAATGCAATATATCAACATAAAACTAGGAACCCAAGAGAACACCACCATGTGACAGTTGAAAATGTATTTTCTCAGCTTGGAAACCATCTGTACATGCAGATATAGTTTAATCTTTCCCCCAGTCCTGAAAGTTTAGTTTGGGCTAAACGAAGCAGATTCCCAGTGTGTCTCACAACAGTGGACAGGTACAGGAATGCCCCTTTCCCGCATGTCATGCTGTATCTGCTGTTCTTCCCACTGGCAGCATGCCCCTCAGTCAGAGTAATCTACTGACCTTTGCTGTTTCACTGGTTCACAGCCCTGATTCGAATTTTATTCTCATCTATTTATGGCATCTTCTAACAAGCCATAGCCTCATTTCTCCACAGCCATGGCCAGGCTTGTTTACCTTGCACGAGCAGAACTGAGAGGACATTCTCTCCCTGGGCACTCGGAGGGTGTCACTGATCCTCATGCAGAGGTGTCACAGGTGAGGCTGGGGAGATGCTCCAACACCTTCCAACAAACAATGGTGCAGTTCTTTGGGAGCAGGAGACACCTGACATCTCCCAGGGCTGCCAGGGTGGGTAAGAGCTCCACACTGCCACAGGAGCATCAGCAAGAGCTCAGAGTGGAGAACAGCACTTACCCCCGTCCTGTCCCGTTCTTTCCCCTGTTTTCCAGACCCAGTTTACAGAAGTCATGGAAAGCATAAGGAGTCTTTCTGCTTATCTGGCAGTAGGCAATGGCTCTGGCCTGACTGCTTTTCCTTCCACCACCTCTCCATCAACCAACCACAGCACAGCCCCATTTTTCTGGCAAACATTTAACACTGTAAGTACGCCATGAAGGTTTTGCTCAGATGTCATCACAACATTTCAGCACTGCAATGGCCTGTTGACCATTATTCAAACTCATAATTTTTATGGTTAATGAAAAACAAAACTTTCCCATGTAAATGGGAAAATATAACAGATTATCTATAAAGCACAATTGAAGGAGTGGCATGTATCCCTCAAGTCTTTGCCTTACTCAAGTCGCTTCATGTCCTTTTCTAAGCTGAGTTTTACCTCTGCCATGTAGCTCTCATTCTGTATTTAGTGAGGAGAATTGAAATTGTCTTAATCCATTAAAAATTGAGAAGCCTATTTTACTTCAGGACTAAGTTCTCAGTTAAAACCTCTTCACATATATTGTGTTTTAAAAGGTCTTCTCACTGACATGTAAGTACATCTCCTTAATGACCAAATTCCAGTTAAACTTTCAGCTAAAAGAGGAATCCATATAATTTGTCAATAATCACAGAACCCAACATGGTCTTTAAGAGTAAAAAGAAAAAAACCCATGCAGAGAAAAAAAACCCTTAATTTCAATCAGAGAAGTGAAGAGAAGAGAGACTAAAGGGCCTTTACAAAATAGATGAATATACCTTAAAAAAACCCAAACTGTGTACAAAACCAGCTATGGTATTTCTGGGAGATTTAACACACCGTGGACTCAGTGGCTTGAAAACATGTATTTTGAGTAAGAAGAATAACCAGTTTTATTAGTAAGTCCTGTACAAGCAAAGCAACAATACAGATCTCCAAGAGCTTTACAGGATGTGTAAGGCCTCGAGTCTGAGCAACAACCAGCCTTTACTACCAGGAGTTAGAGAGGGTTACCCTTGGGATGTGGGTGGTCCCATGACTGCCTTTCCTGCTGCAAACAGGAAGTACTGGCACTGACCACTGCAGGCAATCAGGGAACACCATCACACCAAGTGCCACACTCCAGTGGCCTCCTGTACATGGCAGCTCTGGGATTTCTACAGGAAAAGAAAAGTCAGAGGAGAGAAATATCAGCTCTAGCAGCCCACAGTCATTTACTCCTGAAATCTAAACTGCTGATGGTAATGAATTATATACTATCTAGGATACCACCTATACTATATGGTCAGTTTTCATCACTGAGACCTTTATTCACCAAAGCTACACAATTTCATACCTTCTCCTTTGGACCACCTGCCCACACTGAGTAAGCTGCAAGAAAAGCAGTGGGAAAACTGCAGCTCAAGACTGAGGTGAATGGATATGAAAGAGGCCCAGTCTCCTGACAAAGAAGGATTAATTGTGGTATCTTAAATTCATGGTAACTGATTAGACTGATCTCCGTAACACACAAACTGGAAAAATAGGAGAAAGATTTATGGAGGCATTGAGAAGACACAAGGAGATTTGCCCAGGCATGAAAAACACAGTGTGTTCTTTTGCATCAGCTCAAAGTCAATAATGGGGACCACACCACCAGAACCTAACTGATATTGCCAAGAGAGGGCAAGTTTAATAAAACATCTGTAAGGATGGATGGTGATTATAGAACTGCTGGATGGGCAGTATTTATCTCCCTTGATATCATTCAATGTGCAACTCCTATACCTTTTGCCCCACTTAAAATTTAGATCATAAGGAATAATCCACTTTTATAATGTCCTTAAGTGCAGTTTTCAATCATCTGAGAAGTGGTACTGACAAATTCCCTGTGACAGATGATAAAGACTGAAGTCAAACCATGGGTAACACAGGATTTCTCAGTGCTCAGCCTGGACCAGGGTACTCTGCTGTAGCAATTCCACTGACTGTTTCCAGGAGAGAGCTGCCTGAATCTAAAAAATTACTCAGTTCAGTAGAAAAGTTCATTTTCTGTAGTTTGCTCACAATCACGTAAGAACACTGAAGTAGCTCTTACCTCACTGGAATCAATAGATGTTAATCATTAATTTAAATAGAAGCAGTACTGGGGCAGTTGAAGCATATCCAAATAGATGCTGAGACTCCTAAATCCCACCAGGGCTCCTGACTTTCTATTGATTTCTGTCTCTGAAAACTGAAACTCTTTGCTGAGACCAGAGGTCAAGACTTGAGAAAGATGTCAGTCTAAATATTTGGTTGTATTTCCGCACATGTAGGAATAGAAGACCCTTTTACTGATTTATTCTCCAATTCTTCCTGCTGCATGGACTCTACAATGCTCAACTTGTGCTGCCAGTGAAGCAATATTCTAAACCAGAGGCTTCCTGTAAGGCACACAGCCAATTCATCCTTGGAGCAGCTTTTGCCAGTGAACTCTTACTGAATGTATCAGCAAGAATCCCAGTGGAAAACCAACTACAGTCTTGTGCAATTAAAACCTTATCAAACAGAGAATCGCAGATAACTGCTAAAAAGAATTCTAATGGTTCACCTAAGTCTATCCTCCTACAACAAAATCAAAAATATGTTTGAATGTGTTCTGGGAAACCTCTTTGCAATGTGAAGGCCTTACACACAGTCCAGTCATGAAAAGTCCACTCTCTTGCTGCAGTCTATTTCTCTGATTGACCTTCAGCTTATAAACTCTGCTACATACTGGAAGAGAATTTTGTTACTCTTCATTTTTTACATGTGTGATGAATTGCTCTAATTTTTATCATGCTCCTGCAATTCTTGTACCTTTACCTTTATAATTTGATTTTTTGAATTCCATGATGATTTTCAGACCATTGCACAGCACATGAATGAAACAAGTCATTCATTCTTTAATTCCTATTCCTCCTTTGCTTTAGGTTACAGTTGAGTGACAAATAGAAATCTTGGAACAGGACTCCTATTTTTT